TGAGGAAGCATCTTGCTTTTGTCCAGCAAAGATGTAGTAGATATAGTTACTTTTATTATTTTTCCTTTTTCTTTTACCTTAGATGATAGCTCATTGAAGCTAGTTAGCTCCAAGAACCTTTCCTATCCAGAATGGATTACTTTTATCTTTAATAAACATATTATTTTGATGCTATGAGTTGTGGATCTGCAATCCTGTTCCATCCTGCTGAATGGAAGTCAATCCTTGCTCACTACATGTAAGTTTCTGCTGCTTATTTACTGTGCACCCTGCACTCTGCTATATTTTTGGTGGAATCACCCCCAGAGAGGGTTATTTTTGAGCCTAACAGCTCTTGATTCCCAACAGTGTTGTCCACCTGTGGGCCATATCCCAATACTTGTTGACTCCCTAGTCAAGGGTGAGGACACAGAACCAATATAGCATACAGCCACATACGGACCCACAAGGAAATCCATAATGGAAGACCATCTTACTCGTCCAACGAGGGATTGCCTAAGTAAAAGTAACTGGTTTAAGCATGGAAAGGCTGGAGGAGACCAAAGCCTAGCCATAGAAAGCTACTGGGTGACTCTAGGCAAGTCACACTCTCTCAGCCTCAGAGGAAGGGAATGGGGCCACTCCTTCTCTGTACATACCCCATGAGAGGGTTGCCATAAATCAGAAACAACTTGAAAGCGCACAACAAGAAGAGGAAGGCATGAGGATCTGTTCCCTTTGGCAAGGCCAGGCAGATTCATCCACTTTTTTCCATTTTTATTCAAAAAATGAAATTAAATTCAAAACGATCTTCACAGACAAGAGATGATGGGGAAAACTAACAGGATGCTGTACGTTTTTTTCGGGCTATATGGCCATGTTCTAGAGCAGTGTTTCTCAACCTGGGGGTCGGGACCCCTGAGGGGGTCGCGAAGGGGTGTCAGAGGGGTCGCCAAAGACCATCAGAAAACACAGTATTTTCTGTTGGTCATGGGGTTCTATGTGGGAAGTTTGGCCCAATTCTATCATTGGTGGAGTTCAGAATGTTCTTTGATTGTATTGAACTATAAATCCCAGCAATTGCAACTCCCAAATGTCAAGATCTATTTTCCCCAGACTCCACCATTGTTCACATTTGGGCATATTGAGTATTTGTGCCAAGTTTGGTCCAGATCCACCATTGCGTGAGTCCACAGTTCTCGGTAATATAGGTGAACTACAACTCCCAAACTCAAAGTCAATGCCCACCAAACCCTTCCAGTGTTTTCCATTGGTCATGGCAGTTCTGTGCGGCAAATTAGGTTCAAAATCATCGCTGGTGGAGTTCAGAATGCTCTTTGATTGTAGGTGAACTATAAATCCCAGCAACTACAACTCCAAAATTACAAAATCAATCCTCCCCCAACCCCACTAGCATTTACATGTGGGTGCATTGGGTATTTGTGCCCAGTTTGGTCCAGTGAATGAAAATACATCTTGCATATCTGATATTTATGATTTATAACAGTAGGAAAATGACTGTTATGAAGTAGCAACAAAAACAACATGAGGGACTGCATTAAGGGGTCACGGCATTAGGAAGGTTGAGAACCATTGTTCTAGAGGCATTCTCTCCTGACGTTTTGCCTGCATCTATGGCAAGCATCCTCAGAGGTAGTTGCCATCGATGCAGGCAAAACGTCAGGAGAGAATGCCTCTAGAACATGGCCATATAGCCCGAAGGCTTTCAAACAACCCAGTGAGTCCGGCCATGAAAGCCTTTGACAATACATTTAACAGGATGACGGTCAACAGGGACAAATGCAAATGCAGAAAAAAGAAAATGCAGAGAGACAGAATGCAGGACGATGATGCCTGGCTCGAGAGCAGGACATGTGGAAAAGATCTTGGAGTCCTCGTGGGGAGGAAGGAGAACATGAGACAGGAATGTCATGCAAAAAAAGCCAATGGTATTTTGGCCTCCAACAATAGGAGTCTAGTGCCTAGACCCAGAGAAGTCATGCTCCCTATGCTCTATTCTGCCAGTCAGACCACATTGCCTGTAATCGCACTGTGTCAAATTCTGGGCACCACAACTGAAGGGAGATGTTGACTCAAAGATGGAATGTGTTCAGAGGAAGGGGACTCAAGGGATGAAGGGTCTGGAGAACAAGCCCTATGAGGAGTGGCTTAAAGAGCAGAGCATGTTTAGCCTGCAGAAGAGAAGGCGGAGAGGAGACAGGATGAGGGCCAGGGATCTGGCCCAACTTACCTGTCCGAACGTGTCTCCCCTTACGAACCATTGAGGAATTTAAGATCGTCTGGGGAGGCCCTGCTCTCAGTCCCGCCTTTGTCTCAAGTACGCTCCTCATAGGGCTTGTTCTCCAGACCCTTGATCATTTTAGTTGCCCTCCTCTGGGCACATCCCAGCTTGTCAACATCTCCCTTCAATTGTGGTGCCCAGAATTGGACACAATATTCCAGGTGTGGTCTTACCAAAGCGGAATAGAGCATGGGGAGCATGACTTCCCTGGATCTAGACACTCTGCTCCTCTTGATGCAGGCCAAAATCCCATTGGCTTTTTTTGCTGCCACATCACATTGTGGGCTTATGTTTAACTTGTTGTCCACGAGGACTCCAAGATCTTCTTCGCACGTACTGCTCTCGAGCCAGGCATCATCGTCCCCCATTCTGTATCTTTACATTTGGCAATATTCATTCAGAAGAGGTTTGCCATGGCTTTCTTTGGAGGCTGTGAGAGTGTGACTTGTCCAAGGTCACCCAGTGGGCTTTCAGGCCTAGCAGTACTTCCAGCTCTGGTCCCCAGCATCCTAGGCAAACACTCCAACCACTAGTTTACAGCCCTCGCCGTGATGCAAATCAGCCAATTGAGTAGAGAGCTCTTTAGCCTATGCTAGATTCACTTGGCTTTCTCCTACGTGGTCCCTGTGAAATGCATTTCCAGATGTATGCCATTGAGCCTCATATCCATCAGCTAATTAAGCCAAAGGAGGCCATACTTTCTGACTTGATTTTTTCCAGGCCCCTGCAAACGAGGTTTATAGCACGGGTATCGATCAGCTCACTTCTCATTTGTCCTGCCTTCCCCTTAAAAGTGGTATTCAAGGCTGCTCACAGGTTGTCTCCTTCACTGCAAGCAAAATATTTCACCTTTGGGTTGTTGTAGGTTTTTCCGGGCTATATGCCATGTTCTGGAGGCAATTTTTCTCCTGACGTTTTGCCTGCATCTATGGCAAGCATCCTCAGAGGTAGTGAGGTCTTGCCTCTGAGGATGCTTGCCATAGATGCAGGCGAAACGTCAGGAGAAAAATTGCCTCCAGAACATGGCCATATAGCCTGGAAAAACCTACAACAACCCATAGATTCCGGCCATGAAAGCCTTCGACAATATATTTCACCTTTGCTCCACTTTTCGCCTCCTTGTGCAGATCAGTCCCAAGCTGACCCACCTTTGATGAAGGAGAGGGATGATGATGGTGATGATGATGGTGATGATGGATGCTTCTGGCAGGACAGCTGCAATGGGAGCATGGGGATGGAGCTTCATGCATAAGGCCAAGCTTTGCGCTGAACCGGGTGCCTTGGAGCAGAGCCAGGACAAGGAAAGGTTCTGGAGGAATGGGGCAGGGCCAGGGGCTCCTCACCCCAGGCCTTGCCCCACTGTCTGACCAAGCCAAGCCAAAGCAAAACTAAATAACAGTGGACTTGGCCCATCTGAGCCTCTTCTCTGTGTTCTGGAGCAGAGAGAGCAGCAGAACCAGGGAGTTTAATCTTTTTTAAAAAAATTACATTATATTCCTATTACCTTGAAGTCTGATTTGTTTTCATATGGCAGTGGTTCTCAACCTTCCTAATGCTGTGACCCCTTAATACAGTCCCTCATGTTGTGGTGACCCCCAACCGTAACATTGTTTTCATAACCGTCATTTTACTACTGTTATAAATCATAATGTAAATATCCGATATGCAGGATGAAATTTTCATTCACTGGAACGAATTTGGCAGAAATACTCAATATTCCCAAATATGAATACTGGTGAGGTTGAGTTTGTCATTTGGGAGTTGTAGTTGCTGGGATTTATAGTTTGCCTATAATCAAAGAGCATTCTGAACTCAACCAGCGATGGAATTGAATCGAATTGGGCACACAAAACTCCCATGCCAACAGAAAACACTGGGAGGGTTTGGTGGGCATTGACCTTGAATTTGGGAGTTGTAGTTCACCTATATTCAGAAAGCACTATGGACTCACGCAATGATGGATCTGGACCAAACTTGACACAAATACTCTATATGCCCAAATGTGAACACTGGTGGAGTCTGGGGAAAATAGATCTTGACTTTGGGAGTTGTAGTTGTTCGGATTTATAATTCACTACAATCAAAGAACATTCTGAACTCCACCAATGATAGAATTGGGTCAAACTTCCCACATGGAATCCCCAACAGAAAATACTGTATTTTCTAATGATCTTTGGCGACCCCTCTGACACCCCCTTGCGACCCCCTCAGGGGTCCTGACCCCCAGGTTGAGAAACACTGTCATATGGTAAATAACTATATTTTAATGGTCACTTCTTGGGTGCTTTTTATTGCATCGTTTTTAAATGGTGAGCCACTTTTGAACTCTTGTCTGTTGGAGAGAAGTGTGAATGCTTCAATTGGCCACCAAGCCCTTCCCTCCCAACTCAGGTATAATTTAATATATTGTGGGCTTTCTGAAGCCCTCTCTGCTTCCAGGACCAGGCCAACTGCATGACTGACTCTTAAGGCCTTCCGCCATGATTGACTGCATGATTCACACCTACCTCCAATGGACAAGAGTTCTTTGGGTTATTGTAGGTTTTTTTTGGGCTATATGGCCATGGTCTAGAATGCTTCTAGAACATGGCCAGACAGCCTGAAAAAACCTACAACAACTCAGTGATTCCGGCCATGAAAGCCTTCGACAATATATTTCCTTACTTTAGCAGAGATGTGGTAAGATTCTCTTTTCTGTCAATTTAAAATCATAATAAATATAATAATATTACACATTTATTCACTATTATTAGCACAGTGCGTGACTCTGGAGTGTCCGGCATTCCCTTCCCACAGACCATACCCTTCCCTCCCAACTCAGGTATAATTTAATACATTCTGGGCTTCCTGAGGCCCTCTCTGCTTCAAAGACCAGGTAAACTACATGATTGACTCTAACGTCTTCTGCCATGACTGACTGCATGATTGACTCCTCCATCCTCCACTGTTCAAGGTGTCTCTGGGGGAAAACCCTCCCAAGTGCTCTTCTCCCTGGTTCGCTAAAGGGTCCTTGATTCTGTGAAGGATTTGAGATACTGCAAACACTGCTTGACCTAAAAACACCACCAGAACCCACTCCAGAGCAGCTTTCCCCACAATCCAGGGACTTCCAAAAGGCGAGTCCTCCAGAAGCCTTCTGCAGAAAGTTCTGAGCTCAGTGCTGCCAAAAGTCTAGGGCCGAGCTGGGCCTAAAACAACTTGGGCTTTGTGTTTTGCCTTCTCTGTCCCAAAGGAAGGAAATGAGAGGATCAGGGGCCTGCACATGCTGGGAGCGTGAAGTCTGTGGGGGATGAGATGGGCCCCCAAGCCCTAGACGCCATAGTGGGGGTGCAGGTGGTCAATGACAGACTTGACGAAGTCGGAGGTGGTAGAGTACCCGCCCATGTCCTGGGTCCGCACCTAGAGTCCGACACAGGGAAGAGGGAGAAAAGGTGCCGGTGAACACAGGGATCAGAGGAGGGACATGGCTGGCTGGAGAGAGGCTGCAGATCAAGCAGCGATGCCAGAGAGACAGAGGCACCCGGGACACTGCAGGAGGAGCCAAAGAAAGCCAAGGGGTGAAACGCCTGCATCCCCAGAAGGCAAAGAAGCCACCCAGTAGACTCATTGACCAAGTGGCTAAAGGAGGACCCATTTGGGTTTGCAAATAGCTTTCCCACAATCCTTTCTCCCCCTCAGTCCCCCATGGAAAACCCCACCAAGCAAAAGCAGAGGGAAGCAGACAACAAGAGGGAAAATGGAGCAGAAGCAGAGCCAGCAGAGAGAGAGATGTATATATATATAGGAAGCTCAAAAGACTCACCTTGCCAACCTTGATCACCTTCCTCACCGCATCAGAGATCATAGCCGAGTGATATTCCAAGCTGAAGAAAGAAGGGCAGAGAAGCCACAAGAATGGGAGTGGACATTATTGTTGTTTTAACAACAGCCACCTCTCCACAAATACCTCTCCACAAAAGTCAACATTGACACTGAAATTCAACACCGCCTGAGCTCTGTGAGTGCAGCATTTTTCCAAATAAAGCAGAGAGTGTTTGAGGACCGAGATATCTGTAGGGAGATCAAGGTGCTTGTTTAGAAGCTATTGTCCTCCCAACCCTGCTATACGCCTGCGAAACGTGGTCTACAGACATCAACATTAAGACTGAAATACAACACTGCCTGAGCTCTGCAAGTGCAGCATTTTTCCAAATGAAGCAGAGAGTGTTTGAGGACTGGGACATCTGTAGGGAGACCAAGGTGCTTGTTTAGAAGCTATTGTCCTCCCAACCCTGCTATATGCCTGCGAGACGTGGACTGTCTACAGACGTCACACGCAACTCCTGGAATGATTCCATCAGCACTGCCTCTGAAAAATCCTGCAAATCTCTTGAGAAGACAGGCGGGGAAATGTCAGCATGCTGGAAGAAGCAAAGACCACCAGCATTGAAGCCATGGTCCTCCGCCATCAACTCTGCTGGACCAGCCACGTTGTCCGGAAGCCCGACCACCGTCTCCCAAAGCAGTTGCTCTACTCCAGTGGTTCTCAACCTGTGGGTCCCCAGGTGTTTTGGCCTACAATTCCCAGAAATCCCAGCCAGTTTACCAGCTGTTAGGATTTCTGGGAGTTGAAAGCCAAAACATCTGGGGACCCCAGGTTGAGAGCCACTGCTCTACTCCGAACTCAAAGACGGAAAACGAAATGTTGGTGGACAGGAAGAGATTTAAAGACGGGTTCAAAGCAAACCTTAAAAACTCTGGCATTGACACAGAGAACTGAGAAGCCCTGGCCCTTGAGCGCTCCAGCTGGAGGTCAGCTGTGACCAGCAGTGCTGCAAAATTTGAAGAGGCACAAATGGAGGGCGAAAGAGAGAAACATGCCAAGAGGAAGGCGCGTCAAGCCAACCCCGACTGGGACTGCCTTCCACCTGAAATCCGATGCCCTCACTGCGGGAGAACATGCAGATCAAGAATAGGGCTCCACAGTCACCTATGGACCCACCGCCAGGATATTACACTTGGGAGGACCATCATCCTCGGACTACGAGGGATCGTGTAAGTAAGTAAGTATTTTAAACTGCTTATTTTATGATGTTTTATGCCCATTATAGATGTATATGGATTGCTGCTTACATGATTTTAGTATGTTGTAAGCTGCTTTGGGTCCCATTAGGGAGAAAAGCGGGATATAAATAAAAGATTATTATTATTATTATTATTATTATTATTATTATTATTATTATTATTATTATTTGAAACACAACAAGATGATTCCACAGCAAACAAGATCATTATGCTGGTTGTTGCATTGGATCACATGTCAGATACTTCCCAAGTATCTAGGACTGTGTGATGTATCGGTGAATAATGCAATCAGATTCCAGTAAGGTGGCCTTTTGCAGCTGGCAGTTGGTGATTTTATCAGCACCGATTGTGTTTAAGTGCAGGCTAAGGTCTTTAGGCACTGCACCCAGTGTGCCCATCACCACTGGGACCACTTTGACTGGCTTGTGCCAGAGTCTTTGCAGTTTGATCTTTAAATCCTTTGTCACAGGCAGATGGTCTTTGTGGCACAAGTTCCAATGAATCATCTGATCAACGGTGTTATGCCTCTGCTTGTAGTCTGTCTGCGCAATCTTCTTGCAGCAGCTGAGGATGGGATCTTATTGTTTCATCTGCTTCCTTGCAGAGTCTACACTTGGGATCTGTCACTGACTTTTCAATTTTAGCTTCGATGGCATTTGTTCTAATGCCATTATTATTATTATTATTATTATTATTATTATTATTATTATTATTATTGTGTGAGCGCATGGGAGTATTGATGCTGAACCAAAGCCTAAGCCAGGCCTGCAAATCTGTGGCCCGATGGGAGTTCTGGACTTCAGCTCCCAGCATTCCTGACCATTTGAGAAGCTGATTAGGGCTTCTGGGAGTTGGAGGCCCAAGCATCTGCAGGCTTGGCCTAGGACTTCATGAGCACAACAACCCTGCATGGTCAACCGGGGAACTATTACAAAGGCTCGAATCCCCTTCTCACATCTACTTCTTCCCCCATCCATGCCACTCATGGCATGGGCGTCAAGGAACCTACTTGAGATGTCGCAGCATGTTGGCGGAGGAAAGCAGCATGGCGGTGGGGTTGGCGATGTTCCTCCCCACGGCCTGGGCGAAGGGGTGACGGGCGCCCTAGAAAGTGTGGAGGGAAAAGCCATCAGAACCCTCTTCTAAACCTCCAAAGAGAAGGAAGCCAACTGTTGCCTCAGGGAGGGAGGGAGGTTCTGCCTGGTCTCTCACCATCTCAAAGACGGCGTATTCAGCGCTGTAGCTCTCCCCAGGGACCACGCCAGCCCCCCCAACGAGGCCGGCCGCCAGGTTGTCGATAATGTTGCCGTACAGGTTGGGCATGACCAGGACGTCAAACTGGTAAGGGTTCTGCACCAGCTGGAAGAGACCGAAAGAGAACGTGCCGAAATCAATGTGGCCCAAGCCAGTCCTGGCTGAAACCCACCCCAATCCCTGTTGGCTACCCTTTCAGGTAGCCAACAGCACACAGGTCAACTCAACATCTTGCAACCTGACTAAAAGACTACATTTAATTCTTTAAATACTGTATATACTCGAGTATAAGCCGACCCAAATGTAAGCCGAGGCACCTAATTTTACCACAAAAAACTGGGGAAATGGATTGACTCGAATATAAGCCGAGGATGGGAAATGCAGCATTTATGGGTCAATTTCAAAATTGACCCAATAAAATTACAGGAAATTCCAGACAGGAAAGAATCAGAGACAGCTAATCACTTCTCAGCAAAGGATTCCCTCAGGCAGTAAGAAGCCACACCTTAAAACTGCTAGGCTACTAAATGTGAATCAAGGTGGGTAATTGCAGCATTCACACTTGCCTCAAACAGACAAGAGTTCTTTCTCCCACCCTGGACAGTCCACAGATATAGAAACCCCATTTTCCTAGGTTCCAACAAACCTCACAACCTGAGGAAGCCTGCCACAGATGCAGGCAAAACATTAGAAGAGAATGCTTCTAGAACAGTATTTCTCAATCTGGGGGTCGGGACCCCTGGGTGGGTTGGGAGGGGGTGTCAGAGGGGTCGCCAAAGACCACCGGGAAACAGTGTTTTCTGTTAGGGGGGTTCTGTGTGGGAAGTTTGGACCAATTCTATCATTGGTGGGGTTCAGAATGCTCATTGATTGCCTATTTCCCCCAAACGCCACCAGTGTTCCTATTTGGGCATATTGAGTTTGGTCCAGATCTCTGGATGTAGGTGAACTACAACTTCAAAACTCAAGGTCAATGCCCACCACTCTTCCAGTATTTTCTGTTGGTCATGGGAGTTTCTGTGTGCCAAGTTTGGTTCAATTCCATCATTGGTGGAGTTCAGAATGCTCTTTGGCTGTAGATGAACTATAAATCCCAGCAACCACAACTCCCAAATGACAAAATCAACCCCCCCCCCCCCGACACACATACCAGTATTCAAATTTGGACGTATCAGGTATCTGTGCCAAATTTGGTCCAATGAATGAAAATACATCCTGAATATCAGATATTTCCATTACAATTCGTAACAGTAGCAAAATTAGAGTTATGAAGTAGCAACGAACATAATTTTATGGTTGGGGGTCACCACAATATGAGGAACTGTATTAAGGGGTCGCGGCATTAGGAAGGTTGAGAAACACTGTTCTAGAATATGGCCAGACTGACCGAAAAACCTACAACAACCCATATAGATAAAAGGAGGAGCAAGGCAAAATCTGCACCAGGCAGAAACAGGCCCCTCTGATCCAGGCATGGGCAAACTTCGGCCCTCCAGGTGTTTTGGACTTCAGCTTCCACAATCCCTAACAGCCTACTGGCCCCTCATCTTGCACTCCTGGCTGCCAACCAAATCCCAAGGGGAACCCATTTCCTCAAGGCAACCCCAGCAGCCCCTTTCTGCTCATCGATCTACTGAAAAGCACTCCAGCTCTGGTGTTGGCTCTGATCCAGATCAGGCTTGCACAAGCTGTGGTCCTTCAAGAGTTTAGGACTCTAACAAGTTAGAAGAGCAAGGTGCCCTGAATTGGTTTGAGAGACAACAGTTGTATAATTGGGAAAAGGACTGGTTAAGTAAAAATCCCATATGTAGAGCACTGAATAAATATGAGGAATGGCTAAGTAAGCTTAAAAACCAAGAAATAATGTGGAAAGGATTGATCCATATATAATGGATTAATTGGTGAAGAAATAGGGCTGAAGCTGTTAGAAAAGGTATGGGAAGGAGACCTAGGGCCTCTGACAGATTTTGATTGGAAAAGGGTCCTGAAGTGGAGTGGTTAAGAACCTATCAATAAGATTAAAAGAAAATGTATATTTACTTATTTATTTATTTACTTTACTTGTATACCGCAGTTTCTCAGCCTAACAGGCGACTCAACGCGGTTTACAACAAGGATAAGATCAATCCAATGATATACAATTTAAAACCATTAGAGCACAATATACAATATTGACACAACAATAACAACACAATGCATCTCATAACTAGAGTCGTGATCCAAATTCGTCGTCCATATTTCCATTCCTGTAATCGTCACATTCATTGCACTGATTAACCAAATGCCTGTTCAAACATCCAAGTTTTTAATCTCCTTCGGAACACCATTAGCGAGGGGGCTGATCTTACCTCCATGGGAAGGGCGTTCCACAGCCGGGGGGCCACCACAGAAAAGGCCCTGTCTCTCGTCCCCGCCAGCCGCACCTGTGAAGCAGGCGGGATAGAGAGCAGGGCCTCGAGTCTCGTAGGTTGGGCCAGAACTCGTTATCTCGTTCTCGCGCGAGCGAGGGGGCTGATCTTACCTCCATGGGAAGGGCGTTCCATAGCCGGGGGGCCACCACAGAAAAGGCCCTGTCTCTCGTCCCCGCCAGCCGCACCTGTGAAGCAGGCGGGATAGAGAGCAGGGCCTCCCCAGAAGATCTGAGGGTCCTGGCGGGCTGATAGGCAGAGATACGTTCGGATAGGTAACTTGGGCCAGAACCGTTTAGGGCTTTAAAGGCCAACGCCAGCACTTTGAATTGAGCCCGGTAGCAAATCGGCAGCCAGTGGAGCTGGTGCAGCAGAGGAGTTGTATGCTCCCTACGCTCCGCTCCTGTTAGTATCATGGCTGCCGAGCGTTGGACTAGTTGGAGCTTCCGAGCCGTCTTCAAAGGCAACCCCACGTAGAGAGCGTTGCAGTAGTCTAAACGGGATGTAACCAGAGCGTGGACTACCGTGGCCAAGTCAGACTTCCCAAGGTACGGGCGCAGTTGGCGCACGAGTATACAAAGTTATATGGAGATGGTATACCACACCAGTCAAGCATCATCAGATGGATAGCAAGCAAAGTAACCTCTGCTGGAGATGTGGCAAGCACAAAGGGACATATTTTCATTTATGGTGGGAAGAGTTTTTGGAAGGATATATTTATTGAAATAAACAACACTACAGGATCAAATATTACTCCGGATGCTAGGTTAGCATTATTAATGGACACTACAATGTTGAATCTAGAAACGAGTAAGAAAGAATTAGTGATTATTTTGCTCACAGTGGGAAGAATCATATTAGCAAGGAACTGGAAAACAATAACTAATCTAACACAGGAAGCATGGTATAGGGAGGTATGGAACGTAGCCTTAAATGATAAACTAACAATGGAAATGAGGGTATTCAGGGGGGAAATTAACAGATCGGATTTTGAGGCATACTGGTCAGTCTTTATTAAATATGCTTTAAAGAGTGAAAAAAGGAAAACAATATAACCCTGTTGATCTGGAATTTTGGATATGACATTTGATTAATGGTTGATTTACAAATATATGGTGAAGGAAAGGATACTTGTTCAGGCCTTGGTGGTGGGGCTATGCATTTGCAAAATGTTCACTGTTTTGTGTTTTGTTTACACTGTAAGTTGTTATTGTATGTAAATAAAATCTTAAAATTAAAAAAAAAAAGAGTTTAGGACTCCAACTCCCAGGGGTCCCAGCCAGCTTGTCTAATGACTAGGAAGTCTGGGAATTGAAGTCCAAGACATCCGGAGGACTGCAAGTTGTGCAAGCCTGATCTAGAGCCACCCTGACAGCACTATTTTCTCACAATGCTCTGACTTCTGTTTTTATTTGCTTCCATTTACTCCTACAGTCTATTTACGGAGGCTGTATGGGCTGTGTTATCCGGGATTCAGTGTCAGCTGCATTAAGATCACTCTGACCAAAAAGGTCATGAGTTCGAAGCCAGCCTGGGTTGGAGTGGGTTTCCAACCAATTGTGTGTAGCCTGTTTTCGACCTTTGCAACCCGAAAGACAGTTGCTTCTGTCAAGTAGGAAAATTAGGTACCACCTTAAAGTGTGGGGAGACTAAATTAACTGATTTATGAGGCCATAAAGAAGACTCCAGCAAAGCATTCCAGCGGGGAAGCATGCGGGGAATGCGGAAGTGCTTCATCAATGTTGCAGATGGACGATGAAAGCGACAGCTCCCCTGGCGGCCAGAAAAAGTTAAATAGCCTCTGTCTATGTCTGTATACGTTGGTATGTCAAAAATTGGCATTGAATGTTTGCCATATATGTGTACACTGTAATCCGCCCTGAGTCCCCTGCAGGGTGAGAAGAGCAGAATATAAATACTGTAAATAAATAAATAAATATCCAAGGAAATGCACTTTCTCCCAAAATAGCAGCTGTCCCTCCTCCTCCTCTGTGGGCCGGCTTGACCTGGCTGACCCAACGCTGCCCTCCCGAGTGTCTTATCCGCTTTGCTTAAGGATCTTATTTCCTTAAGAGGCACGGCCGGGCTCACTGACCTGCATGCAGCAATTGTCTATGATCATGGTGTCGAATTTGATCTTGGGATACAACTCCGACACCTCCTCACAGCAGCGTAGGAACAGCCCATCGCCCAGCTTCCTGGAAGGGAGGAAAACACACACAAACAGTCAAGCCACAGGGTTGTTGTAGGGTTTTCAAGCCATACGGCCATATTCTAGAAGCATTTCCTCAAGCCACAGTTCAGCAGGAGCCATCTTCTGGCTGCCTTATGTGGGCAAGAGAAAGAAGTCATGGGTGGATGACCCACTTGCTGGTGAGGGCCCCATCCTTCAGGGAGAGAACAAGGCTAGGTTAAAAGGGGTGGGCACGTAAACTACAAGCTTCATGTGTCTGGGGTTTGCATCATCCCAGCTCCTCAACTGAGTCACTCTGGACCGTGCTCTGACCTACAAGAAGCACTGCCTGAACATCAAAAAGTGGGCGCTAGAAACAATATCATACGAAAGCTGACTGGCACAACCTGGGGATCACAACCAGACAAAGTGAAGACATCTGCCCTTGCGCTATGCTACTCTGCTGCTGAGTATGCATGCCCAGTGTGGAACACATCTCACCACACTAAAACAGTAGATGTGGCTCTTAATGAGACATGCCGCATTATCACAGGGTGTCTGCGCCCCACACCACTGGAGAAATTACACTTCTTAGCCGGTATTGCACCACCTGACATCCGCCGGGAAGTAGCAGCCAATAGTGAAAGGACCAAGGCAGAGACATCTCCAGCTCATCCCCTGTTTGGGTATCAGCCAGCACGTCAATGACTTAAATCAAGAAATAGTTTTCTTAGATCTACAGAGACACTCGCTGGAACACCCCAGCAAGCGAGAGTCCAAAAGTGGCAGGCCCAAACCCAGCACCTCAATCCATGGGTGATACCAGATGAGAGACTCCCCCTGGGCACACAAGACTGGGCGACTTGGAAGGCGCTGAACAGACTGCGCTCTGGCACCACGAGATGCAGAGCCAATCTTAAGAAATGGGGCTACAAAGTGGAATCCACGGCATGCGAGTGTGGAGAAGAGCAAACCACTGACCACCTGCTGCAATGCACCCTGAGCCCTGCCACATGCACAATGGAGGACCTTCTTGCGGCAACCCCAGAGGCACTCCAAGTGGCCAGATACTGGTCAAAGGACATTTAACCAAATACCAAATTTGCAAAATCTGTGTGTGTGTTTTTTCCTTTTTCTTTTTAATCTGTGTGTTTGTTTTGCTCCGTTAGAATTGTAATACAATGGTTGCTGATGACACGATAAATAAATAAATAAGTTCCTCAACTCACATGATATTGGCTTTGTGGACGGCCGTGACCTTGGAGCGCCCCGTCTTGGTGGCAAAATCAAAGGCAAACTTGGCGATGCGCTGGGATTTGGCCCGAGTGATGATCTTCAGGCACTCAATGACCCCCTTCGCACTCTGTCAAGAAGAAATGGCCTAGCTCAAGAAGCAATCATAGTAAGTTGTTCTTGGAGCTGCTTTGGGTGAAGAGTGTCAGGATTTATTGAGTTATGTATGTGTTTTAAATGTGCTTCTATGTGTTGCAAATATGGATGCCACTGTGAATGGAAAATGCTGTGCAGAAATGCTTAGAGTTGAGGCTGTGATTATGCGAACTTGAGAAAGTAAAATAAGCTTTGTCCTGGTGAGAAACTGAAGGGAGTTGCCAGCTTCAAGCATGAGAAGATAAGCAGATGTGAAGAAGTGTTTTGGCTTTCGGTTTTGACTAGTTCCCTTCCTGTATGTCCTCGCTGAAGAAAGATGCGTTTGCTGTATTTACTTAGTAAAATTTAGTTTTCTTTTGTAACTCAAAGCTTGCAGAGCAGGATAACGTGGAAAAGGATGCCCCCTCCTCCCGATTGCCCCCAGCCCTCTGGTATTCTGCTAGACATAGAGGTTCCAGCCACGTTGTCCGGATGCTCAACCACCGTCTCCCAAAGCAGTTGCTCCATTCTGAACTCAAGAATATTGGTGGACAGGAAAAGAGATTTAAAGATGGGCTCAAAGCCAACCTTAAAAACTCTGGCATAGACACTGAGAACTGGGAAGCCCTTGCCCTTGAGTGCTCCAGCTGGAGGTCAGCTGTGACCAACAGTGCTGCAGAATTTGAAGAGGCACAAATGGAGGGATAAAGAAAGAAACGTAACAAGAGGAAGGCGCGTCAAGCCAACCTTGACCGGGACCGCATTCCACCTGGAAAACAATGTCCTCACTGCAGGAGAACATGCAGATCGAGAATTGGGCTCCACAGTCACCTACGAACCCACCAGAATACTGATCTTGGAAGACTATCCTACTTGGCCAACGAGGGATCGCCTAAGTAAGTAAGTAAGTTAGAGGTTCCGGTCCCACAGGAAAACTGCTCTGGGTCCTCCTGCTCTGGCTTGCTCTTTTGAAATTCACCCAAGGAACGGTCAGATCCTGCTGATGACCTACAGAGAAGTACATTCTCTCAGCTGGACATTTCCATCCAATGGGGAATGTCCATTCCGTTCAAGATGGTGGAAATGGAATTGGGCCTGTGGCATCTTTGCACATTAATGGGCACTGAGCATTAGGCTGTGCATTCAATTGTTCACTTGGTGTAGCACCATTAATGCATAACTCCCTCTGAGAAGATGTATACTCAGGATTCTCCATTTTACCTTCAGGAGACAAGAGTGGGCAGAAACACAGAATGGGACACCCCCCACAGCAAAGTTATTTATTTATTACTAGCTGTCCCCTGCCACACGTTGCTGTGGCCCAGCCTGTCTATATGTGTTTTGTGTTTGTATATGTGTGGTTTTGTGCATGTGTTGTAATGTATTTTTTATTTTTGTTTTTTAGGTCTCTTCTGTTGTGCTTTTCAGTGTTTTTATGAGTGATGGTCACTCGTTGGCCTGATAGGTGTATTGTGTTCAAATTTGGTGTCAATTCGTCCAGTGGTTTTTCAGTTATGTTAATCCCACAAGCAAACATTCCATTTTTATTTATATAGATTTATTTCAGATATTTGTACCCCGACTTTCTCAATCCCCCTGGGAGGAAAGGGGGGGGGGGACTCAAGGCAACTTCCAGCCAGCAAGGATTCGATGCCTCCATGTGCACATAACGAAATACATAATAAAATCCAATAATTACATACAGTTAAAAGCATTAATTCAATTCAATTAACAACTAGGTTCTTGTGGGTTTTTTTGGGCTATAGGGCCATGTTCTAGAGGCATTTCTCCTGACGTTTCGCCTGCATCTATGGCAAGCATCCTCAGAGGTTGTGAGGTCTGTTGGAAGTAGGAAAAATGGGTTTATATATCTGTGGAATGGCTGGGGTGGGGCAAGGAGCTCTTCCCTGCTGCAGTTAGGTGTGAATGTTTAGCTGATCACCTTCATTAGCATTTGAAGGCCTGCCTGAGCCTGGGAAAATCTGTTGCTGGGAGGTGTTAATCTGTGCCTGGTTTTTTCCTCTCTGTTGTTTAGCTGTTATAATTTTAGAGTTTTTTAATACTGGTAGCCAGATTTTGTTCATTTTCATGGTTTCTTCCTTTCTGTTGAAATTGTCCACATGCTTGTGGATTTCAATGGCTTCTCTGTGTAGTCTGACATGGTGGTTGTGAGAGTGGTCCAGCATTTCTGTGTTCTCAAATAATATGCTGTGTCCAGGCTGGTTCATCAGGTGCTCTGCTATGGCTGACTTCTCTGGTTGAAGGAGTCTGCAGTGCCTTTCATGTTCCTTGATGCGTGTCTGGGCGGCTGCAGCAGGGAAGAGCTCCTTGTCCCACCCCAGCCATTCCACAGATATATAAACCCATTTTCCTACTTCCAACAGACCTCACTACCTCTGAGGATGCTTGCCATAGATGCAGGCGAAACGTCAGGAGAAATGCCTCTAGAACATGGCTCTATAGCCCGAAAAAACCCACAAGAACCTAGTGATTCCAGCCATGAAAGCCTTCGACAATACAATACAACTGTTTAAAATACAACAGCCTGTTGGCCTAGTTAAATACCTATATTATCCTCTACAGCCCCTCTCAAAATGGCAGTGCCCTCCATGAATCCGGTATTTTCTCCCCACATAATATTCCATTATATACCTCCAATAATTTAGGGATCAGCATTTCTTTAAAGATTTTATAAAATTCCGGACCTAGTCCATCCAAACCTGGAGCCTTTCCAATCTTTAATTTTTTAATAGTTTCTTCTATTTCATATCTCTCAATGGGCTTTTCTAATAATTCTTTATCCTCTTCTCCTAATTTACCCTCCCAATTTTCCTCTACATATTTCCTAATTTCTTCTGTGGAACAGGCCTTTGTTTGATATAATTCTTTATAGAATTCTTCAAAAATCTCTATTTTTCCTTTCATTGATCTACACAGGTCTCCTTTTTTATTTCTTATGGTGTTTATCATATTTTCCATTTTCTTTTTTTACGTTGATCTAGCTAACATTTTTGAATTTCTATTACTGTATTCAAAAAATTCTCTTTTTAAGTATATTAAATTTTCTTGAACCTCATCAATCTCGATTTTATCCAATTCTTCTTTTTTGGCCCTTAGTTTTATATATGTTTGTTTATCTACCTTTTCTAATATAATCCTTCTCCAGTTCTTCTATGTCTTTATTCAAACTCTTTTTCCTTTCTTCTTGTTTCCTCTTTAATATGCTTGCCTCTTTTATACATAAGCCTCTTATCACCGCTTTCATTGTATCCCACAGTATTCCTTTTGACACGTTCCTTTCATTTATTTTCCATTTTGAAGCCAGCAGAGGATGCTGGAAACCTTGTACTGGAACTTGTGAAGCAACAAGTTCTAATAAGGAAACTGAGAAGAGGGGGTGAGATGGGCAGGAAAGGTGTATAAAAGAAAGTGGTGGTGGGAAAAAGTCAATAGTGTCTTTCTTTGCTGCAGAGATACAAGCAATATATCCATTTCAAAGCAAATCCGGCTTGTGAGTAGTTATTTAATATTGCTATATAGATCCTACAGTCTTACATTATATATGGCATTATACAGGTTGCACCCACCATCTTGGGGGATACAGAGGAAAATATAAGTATTTGGAGATGGGAAATAGTGTTTGTGTGTGTTTTTGGGAGTCTTCTGGAAGCCAGAAGAGGGATCCAGAGATTTCATGCAGCAGCTGGGCCATACTCTGATGTAGGCTTACAACCCATGTTGTCACTCCCAGCCCCAAAACACTTATTAAAAATGTCCTTCTGACTCATACAATGACTTCCCTTGCCCAATCCAATGGCCTGGCCTAACTGCGGAACCTGACAAAAGGCTATTTTCCAGACTACCCCTGCCTTCTGAGGCTGGATCTATACTGGCATATACTGCAGTTTCAGAATGCAATTTAGCTGCATTGAACTGGATTCTATGGCAGTGTAAGATCATAAAATCCTGTTCAATGCAAATTTGGCAGCGTTGACTCATTATACCCCAGTGTAGATCCAGCCTGAACCAGGGAAGGGAGCAACTCCTAAGCAGAATGGAGAAAGCACGCCAGAGCCCACCTCATGCTCCAGGGAGCTGTATTCCCCTTCTGTCTGCTCCCGGATGATCACCAGGTTCAAGTTGTTGTGCCGGGTTTTGTAGCCGGGGAGGCTGTTCACGTGCACCACGTTGGCAAAGAGGTCTAGTTTGCGCCTGCAAGAGGAGGAATTCAAGTTAAGCTTAGGGTCTTTCCAATAGATCACCCGCAGACCACATGCAGTATGAGTGAAAAAGATCTTGGGAGTCCTCATGGACAACAAGTTAAACAAGAGACTCATGGGCCATCCAGTCCAACCCCATTCTGCCAAGAAGCAGGAATATTGCATTCAAAGCACCCCTGACAGATGGCCATCCATCCTCTGTTTAAAAGCTTCCAAAGAAGGAGCCTCCACCACACTCCAGGGGCAGAGAGTTCCACTGCTGAATAGCTCTCACAGTCAGGAAGTTCTTCCTAATGTTCAGATTGAATCTTCTTTCTTGTAGTTTGAAGCCATTGTTCCATGTCCTCGTCTCCAGGGGAGCAGAAAACAAGCCTGCTCCCTCCTTCCTTTGACTCCCCCTCACATATTTATACAAGGTCATGACATGTCTCCTCTCAGCCTTCTCTTCTGCAAGCTCTTCCAGCCACTCCTCATAGGAGTAACTATGTGCTTTAGCGACACCAACGTCAATTAAAAAATATTTTAAAAATAGAGACAGCTTGCTAAGTGCTTCCCATCACCTCTTCACAATTGAAGCACTGTTCACCTGATGCCATTAGCATAGGGACAGCTGTGCTTGAACTCAAACTGCCTGCACAAATTAAGGATTTTGTTCAAGGCGGACTGCAACCTACCTGAGCCTCATGTCGTAGGAGGCCAGTTCCCCTTTGTACTCCATCGGGGTGTGGATCTTCCCTGAAAGGACATGAGAAACGTGACAGAACGGCTCCATGTCCTATGTGGGGTGGGTGTGCTTCAGGTTTGGGAGGGGCAGTGGCTGGGCCCTAAGGTGGCAGGGGCCCCCTCCCCTCCCCTCCGTCCTGCTGGCCCTGTCTGTACCTATGAGGGCAACTTTGCTCTTCTTCATGGATTCAAAAACCTTGTCCAGGATCTCCTCTGAGGCCATGTTCTGCACCTCACTCAGGTGATGTTCATCAAACTGGACTGGGACGCCAGCAACCTGCAGAGAAGCCCCACCCCCAAACCCCCCCCCCAAACCCCCTAACCAAACCCCCCCCCCCCCCCACCAACCACCAAACCACCCTTTAGCCCCCCACCCCCCCAAGAAAAAACCCCCAAAAAAAAAACAAAACACACACCAAAAAAACAAAACACACACCACCACCCCACCCCCCCACACCCACCCCAAAAACCGCCCCCCCCCCCAAAAAAGAACAAAGGACCTTTGTTTAAGTTAAACCACCACACAAACACAAAACCATGCCAAAAACCCCCCCAAAACCCATCCCCCCCCCAAAAAAACACCCCAACCCCCACCCCCAGCAACCTGCAGAGAAGCCAGTTAAACCCAGTTAAAGGCTTGGAGCCTGGACTGTCTGGATGGGCTAGAAGGCAATCCCTCTCCTCCATTTACATGGGGGGGGGGGGGTTGCTGCCTGACAGAGCCAATCAGAAGAAGACACACTGGCTTGTCCTTATGCCCAAATGGTCAGTTTTTTAAGGGACAAACACTGGTGTGAAAGAGACAGTGCCTTGGTATATTCCAAAAAGGCTGCATTTCCCAAATCAGCCCAATGCATCTTGACTAAGAAAAATATTTGCATGGTTTTGTTTACAATAAAAGGGAGCAAGATACATTTGGCCCGCCCACCATGCTTTTATTTTATTTCTTTATCATGTTATTTTGCACCTGTTTATTTTATTTTCTGTTATTATATGTATTTTATTTTGATGTTATTATTTGCTGTTTGTATTTTATTTTATTTTGTTGTACTGTAATTCTGGACTTGGCCTCATGTTAGCTGCCCTGAGTCCCCTTTGGGGAGATGGTGGCGGGGTACAAATAAAGTTTATGATGATGATGATGATTATATATGTTTCATAATACATCTCATGGACACAAATTTTTTTGGTAGGAGGCAAAGTTTTGATTATGCTCTCTACGTGGGGCTGCCTTTGAAAACTTCTCAGAAGCTCCAATTAGTCCAGCGGTCGGCGGCCAGGTTGTTAACTGGAGCTGCGTACAGGGAGCGTACCACTCCTCTGTTGCGCCAGCTCCACTGGCTGCCGATCACAATTCAAAGTGCTGGTTTTAACCTTTAAAGTCCTGCACGGTTGGGGCCCAGATTACCTGTCCGAACGTATCTCCTGCTATGAACCATCACGAAGCTTAAGATCATCAGGAGAGGCTCTGGTCTCGTTCCCACCACTCTCGCAAATGCGGTTGGTGGGGACGAGAGACAGGGCCTTCTCGGAAGTGGCCCCCCGTCTGTAGAACTCTCTCCCTAAGGATATCAGGTTGGCGACCTCCCTCCTGTCCTTTAGAAGACAACTGAAGACCTGGCTCTGGGGCCAGGCATTCGATTAGAGGCCAGTGGCAATAGGAAAAGGAAATTTGGATTTTTGCGACATGGATTCTCCTGGCTCGGCTTGGTTTTACTGGCACATTAATCTATTAATTTATTGTTAATTTTTATTGAAGATGCACAATGTTTTAAAATGATTTTATTGTGAGTTGTAGCTTTTAGGGTATTTATGTTGTTAGCATCGTCTGATGCTCATGTGAGGCCATGCTGAGTCCCCCTTGTGGGGAGAAGGGTGGGATATAAATATATGAAGTAAGCAAGTAAATAAATAAATATCAAGGCAGATAATCCACCATATCTGCTTTGAACTGGATTATCTGAGTCCAAACTGCCATATAGTTCAATGTGGATTTTATACAGCTGTGTGGAAGGGGCCCTAGAATAATAGAATAACAGAGTTGGAAGAAACGACATGGGCCATTCTAGCCCAACCCCCTGCCATGCAGGAAAAGCACAATCAAAGTACCCCTGACAGATGGCCATGAAGTCTATATGCAAGTGATATGCAGTAGAAGCTGATGAGGCCTATCATGAATAAATAATACCCTAAAAGTGACTAGGGCCCCTTCTATACTGCCATATAATCCAGATTATCAAAGCATTAGGATTTTATTTGGAGTGTTACATGGTGCCTAGGTTAGTGTGAAGCAGGTGTCTCTGTGCTTACAGAATAATCTGAAGACCAACCATTAGCACTTTCAGAAAAGCATGGCTGGACTCCCAGGGGTTAGCCCTCGTTGGAGCAAACCTACCGAATTCACCGATGAACGAGGAACCAATACAGAGATAAATACCGTTGATTCAGTTTCTCTACTCTAGTCAGGATGAGCATCTGAATTTAGGCTTGAGTTTCAAATCAGTGTTAGGCTAAACAGTGAGACTTTTGATACATCCTGAGATAAAGGATCTTTTCACACTACACAATTACAGTGCTATGGTTGCACTTCGACTGTCATGGCAATTGAATTCTAGGATATGGCATTCAGGAAGGAGTTATTTAGGCTTCTCCAGTGTGGGAGGTTTGGCCCAATTCTATCATTGCTGGGGTTCAGAATGCTCTGTGATTGTAGGTGAACTATAAATCCCAGCAACTACAACTCCCAAATGTCAAGATTCTATTCTCCCCAAACCCCACCAGTGTTCACATTTGGGCATATTGAGTATTTGTGTAGAGTTTGGTCCAGATCCATCACTATTTGAGCAGAGAGTAGCCCTCTGACAAAACTACACACTGCAGGGTCCCCTAGGGTGTTGCCATGGCAGCTGAAGTGGGATCATGGCAGTGCAAAACGACCTCTCCCTCTCAGGACCCTTCCACACAGCTATATCATCCAAAATATCAAGGCAGAATAACCCACAGTAGCTGCTTTGAACTAGAATAGCCACACTACCATGTATCCCAGTTCAAAGCAGATAATGTGGGACTTTATTCAGCTGCATGGAAGGGCTATCTCTCCCATGGGGTTCTAGCACTTCTTGAGTTTGTCTTACATCTCAGATTGTACCCACCCCATCCTCCCCACTGACACAGTATGCACCATCTTCAGAGGACTTGCAGATGCACTCACCTTGAACACCTCCTTGACTGAGTGCATGAGCTCTGGGCCCACCCCGTCCCCAGGGATCATGGTCACGGGGAACACTCCCTCTGCCTTTGGACTCTCCGCCTGGAAAAGAACAGAGCAGCACCCCCATCACAAAACAGCAAGTTCAGCTCCAGACTATTCTCTCCACACATTTCTCTAGAGGGGTTATTATAAAAAATTACTCTGGGGAAAACAATGGGTATTACGTAAGGTGAGGGGCTAGATAACAAAGGAATGCAATCAGTTTCAAAACTCCTTGCCTTTTCCTTCTCACTTTCTTTATTTTAATTCCTTGAACAGAGTTATGCACTTCCTTTTTATGGAAATATAGTTTAACGTTGCAACTTTTCCATAAGATGACAGCTGTATCTATTGGGCTAATATGTGGCTATGTGCACAAATGGGGCCACAAAATGGAATCCTCGACATGCGAGTGTGGAGAAGAGCAAACCACAGACCACATGCTGCAATGCAACCTGAGCCCTGCCACATGCACAATGGAGGACCTTCTTGCGGCAACACCAGAGGCACTCCAAGTGGCCAGATACTGGTCAAAGGACATTTAATCAACTACCAAGTCTGCAAACTTTGTGTTTTGTCTGTTTGTTTGTTTTGTTAGAAATGTAATACAACAGTCTGGTTGCTCCTGACACGATAAATAAAAATAACTGAAGGATCTAGAAAAGTCCTAAAGATACTATTTTTTAACCTGGGTACAGGTAAGAGAAAACACAAGTAGGGGTTTTGCAGTTGTAAGGGTATTATAAAGGGAAATAGTGTGCTAGAGAACACAAAACACATATACATTAGGCCTGGGTAACAACGGAAAAATTTGTTTCTAAAATCGATTTGTATTTGGGGTTTTTTTTTGTTTCGATATTTAAAATAATTACAAAATTTTCCTTTTAAAAAGTTCAATATTTACGAAATTTCGTAAATGGTAAAAAATTAACGAATCGATTTCCGAAACAATAACGAATCGATTCGTTAATGGCGGACGCGACCGCGAAATACGCTAAAAAACCTCCAAAACCTTCTGAAGCTTCCCTCTCCCTCTGTTGTTGACTGTTGGTGTGATATTATAATTTTTTTTCACTAATTAAACCATAAAACTGGCCCAGACATGCGGAAATAATAACGAAACGACCTCAAAACAATAACGAAACGAATACAATATCGAAATACGAAGCATTTACAAAACGTATTTAAAAATTCGTTTTTAAATAATTGCTCCAGAATGGTTCGTTATCGTTTTGTAATTGAAAAAATTAACGAATTATTAACGAATTACGAATTAACGAAACGAAACCGCCCAGGCCTAATTTCTATGCTTCTGTTACAGGGGAACATAGAATCACAGAGTTGTAAGAAATCCCAAGGGACATCCAGTGTAAGCCCCTTCTTCCATTCAGAAGCACACAATCAAAGCACTCCTGGCAGATGGCCACCTAGCCTCTGCTTAAAAGCATCCAAAGGAAGAGACATCTTACCTGGGCTTGCTTCTGCAGGACAGGAGCCGAAGTGCCAAGGCCTCTCCATACTCCACAGCTCTGGGACTGAAATAGACACTGCAATGGAACAGAGGGACAGACATAGATGTCTCCGCAAGCTCCTGAGGTACCAAGAATGTCAGGATCATAATCTTAGTCCCCATCATGAGTTATACTAATCGTATTGTTTATTTTGTTGTTTTTATTGATTTGTTGTTGGGCTTGGCCTCATGTAAGCCGCTCCGAGTCCCTTGGGGAGATGGTAGCGGGATATAAAGTATTATTATTATTATTATTATTATTATTATTATTATTATTCTCTCTGTGGTTCTGCCATGTGTTTTGCCACATATAAGCATATTAGTTACTGTTTTATTATATTCTCATATATATTCAGCTTGAACCATGTCAAGAAAAATCCTTGACAATTTCAGGAAAGACTGGGGCTCAGTCATTTTCCTACAGCAAGGATAGGGACAAACTTCAACTATTGGATAGAATCATAGAGTTGGAATAGACCGCATGGGACATCTAGTCCAACCCCCTGCCAAGCAGGAAAAGCACAATCAAAGCACCAAAGACAGATGGCCATCCAAGCCTCTGTTTCAAAGTGTCAAAGGAAGGAACTTCCACCATACTCAGTGGCAGAGAGTTCCACTGTTTTTTGTTTAATGTTTTATTGTGTAAAGATATACAGAATGTAAAAGAAAATAAAAGAAATAAATCAAATACACATACTACAAATATATCTGCCTATCATACTTCCCCCTGCCCATAGACCACCACCCAAAACTTCTGACACTACTCAATGTGGAACTAATATCTCATTAAAATCTACCCTTATCTTTATATTAATAACTCCCCCTTGCTGCTATTTCAAAGTCTACCTTTGTTTTTCCTTTCTAAATATTCAAATGCAAGCCTTTTCATTATGTCCTCCTCTAATGCCACTGGCCTGGCAGTGCCTGGGGCAATCTTTTGTTGAGAGGTGATTAGATGTCCTTGATTGTTTCCTCTCTGCTGTTTTGCTGTTGTAATTTTAGAGTTTTTTTAATACTGGTAGCCAGATTTTGTTCCTTTTCATGGTTTCCTCCTTTCTGTTGAAATTGTCCACATGCTTCTTGTGGATTTCAATGGCTTCTCTGTGTAGTCTGACATGGTGGTTGTGAGAGTGGTCCAGCATTTCTGTGTTCTCAAATAGTATTCTGTGTCCAGATTGGTTCATCAGGTGCTCTGTTATGGCTGACTTCTCTGGTTGAAGTAGTCTGCAGTGCCTTTCGTGTTCCTTGATTCGTGTTTGGGCAATGCTGTGTTTGGTGGTCCCTATGTAGACTTGTCCACAGCTGCATGGTATACGGTAGACTCCTGCAGAGGTGTTTATTACGATGTTTGGCTTCTTGGTGAGTGCTTGAGCAAGGTGAACTCTAGCTGAGGTCCAACTCTCATTGTTCTGGTACGGCTGTACCAGGAGCTCCAACTTCTTTTTCTTTCTTTAAGTGTTTGCATGTATGCCAAGGTTCCATGCATTTTGCAATAAGGCGGCTTCCCTTGGTTTGCAATTATAGGGCCAATGACCCATCAATCACCATTAGGTTCTTTAGTTCCACCCCCTTTTGTGTTTGGGCGCCTCTCAACAAAAGATTGCCCCAGGCACTGCCAGCCCATCAAATGCTAATCAAGGTGGTCAGTTGAAACATTCACACCTAGCTCCAACAGACAAGGGTTCTTTGTCCCACCCTGGTCATTCCACAGATATATAAACCCTTTCCCCTAGTTTCCAACAGACCTCACTACGTCTGAGGATGCTTGCCATAGATGCAGGCGAAATGGCAGGAGAGAATGCCTCTAGAACATGGCCATATAGCCCGTAAAAAACTTACAGCAACCTATTATTATTATTATTATTATTATTATTATTATTATTACATTGATGCAGCCTAGAATCACATTCTCCCCAGACAGGACCCAATACAAGTAGCCCAGGCCTGGGCCTACTTGGGCCCTCCCTCCAGGTGTTTTGGAGTTCATAGAATCATAGAATCAAAGAGTTGGAAGAGATCTCGTGGGCCATCCAGTCCAACCCCATTCTGCCAAGAAGCAGGAATATTGCATTCAAATCACCCCTGACAGATGGCCATCCAGCCTCTGTTTAAAAACCTCCAAAGAAGGAGCCTTCACTACACTCCGGGGCAGAGTTCCACTGGTGAACAGCTCTCACAGTCAGGAAGTTCTTCCTCATGTTCAGATGTTCCTCTCTTGTAGTTTGAAGCCATTGTTCCGCGTCCTCGTCTCCAAGGAAGCAGAAAACAAGCTTGCTCCCTCCTCCTCCCTGTGGTTTCCTCTCACATATTTATACATGGCTATCATATCTCCTCTCAGCCTTCTCTTCTTCAGGCTAAACATGCCCAGCTCCTTAAGCCACTCCTCATAGGGCTTATTCTCCAGACCTTTTATCATTTTAGTCACCCTCCTCTGGACACATTCCAGCTTGTGAATATCTCTCTTGAATTGTGGTGCCCAGAATTGGACACAATATTCCAGGTAAAGTGGTCTAACCAAAACAGAATAGAGCCTGGGGAGCATTACTTCCCTGTCTTCACTGTGTCTGGTTGTGATCCCCAGGTTGTGCCAGTCAGCTTTCGTATGATATTGTGGGAGTTGAAGTCTAAAACATCTGGAGGGAGGGCCCAAGTAGGCCCAGGCCTGTTCTAGTCCCTGTGTCTCTTTCTCCTTCAGCTCCTCACAGGGGTGACCTATCTTCTCATCCTCGAGGGCCTCCCTACAAGGCCAGCCCCAGGCAGCGAAGGCCCAGCCGACCGGGGGCCACACTGAGCGAGGCCTAGAGTCAACCGACAGCCTCCTGCCGGCCCAACAACCCTTTCTTTCCGCCACTCACCGATGAAACTGTTCGAATACCTCTGAGAGCCGCCATCTTGGAGTCCCAGAATGCCCCGCGCGTGTGGGAGGGCTTCTGAATCACCTTGAACTCGCTTCGCCCCGCCCCTTTCGAGGGAGTGAGTGAGCCGGAACTATAGAGAAAGGAGGGTAGAAGCGGCAGGCACCCACTTCCGGTCTGGGTTTCTGACCAGGGAAAGAGGGAGCCGGAACTATAGAGAACGGAGGGTAGAAGCGGCAGGCACCCACTTCCGGTCTGGGTTTCTGACCTGGGAGAGAGGGAGCCGGAACTATAGAGAACGGAGGGTAGAAGCGGCAGGCACCCACTTCCGGTCTGGGTTTCTGACCTGGGAGAGAGGGAGCCGGAACTATAGAGAACGGAGGGTAGAAGCGGCAGGCACCCACTTCCGGTCTGGGTTTCTGACCTGGGAAAGAGGGAGCCGGAACTATAGAGAACGGAGGGTAGAAGCGGCAGGCACCCACTTCCGGTCTGGGTTTCTGACCTGGGAAAGAGGGAGCCGGAACTATAGAGAACGGAGGGTAGAAGCGGCAGGCACTCACTTCCGGTCTGGGTTTCTGACCAGGGAAAGAGGGAGCCGGAACTATAGAGAACAGAGGGTAGAAGCGGCAGGCACCCACTTCCGGTCGAGTCTAGTTCTCCCTCTCTAAGGCAAAACCCTGACAATTCCTACTATTGTTATGATTACACTAGGTAATAATTTTGATTTTGTGTCATTTCCTAATGGGTTCTATCATAGAAACACGGGGAAAGCTTGTTAAAGCGCACAAACTGTTGTGAGTTTTCTGGTCAGTCTTGGAGATGTTCCAGAAGCATTCTCTCCTGACGTTTCGCCCACATCTATGGCAGGCATCCTCAGAAGTTGTGAGGTCTGTTGGAAAACAGGAAAATTGGGTTTATCTATCTGTGGAATGATGTCCAGGGTGGGAGAAACCTCCCAACAAAGGATTCCCCCAGGCAGTAAGAAGCCAGACCTTGAAGCTGCTGGGCCATTAAATGCTAACTATTGGAAACTAAGCAAGGGAGATTTATGCTCTGTGGAATGATGTCCCGGGTGGGAGAAACCTCCCAACAAAGGATTCCCCCAGGCAGTAAGAAGCCAGACCTTGAAGCTGCTGGGCCATTAAATGCTAACTTGGAAACTCAGTTTTATATACCTGTGGAATGATGTCCTGGGTGGGAGAAACCTCCCAACAAAGGATTCCCCTAGGCAGTAAGAAGCCAGACCTTGAAGCTGTTGGGCCATTAAATGCTTACTTGGAAACTAAGTTTTATATATCTGTGGAATGATGTCCTGGGTGGGAATAACCTCCCAACAAAGGATTCCCCCAAGCAGTAAGCAGCTAGACCTTGAAGCTACTGGGACATTAAATGCTAACTATTGGAAACTAAGCAAGGGAGGTTTATATATATGTGGAATGAAGTTGGTGCAAAATGCAGCTGTTCGGCTTCTTGCGGGAATTCCGATGAGATGCCACATAACCCCAATCTGACTGCAGCTGCATTGGTTACCAATTGAGCACCGGATCACTTTCAAAGTGATGGTACTCACCTTTAAGGCCTTGCATGGTCTGGGGCCAATGTACCTGAGGGACCGCCTCACCCCCTCCCAACCCCAGAGATCCCTCCGTTCTGAGGACCAAGATCTATTGGAAATTCCCAGTGTCAAGACCTTGCGTCTAACAGCAACCAGACGCAGAGCCTTCACAGCAGTGGCACCATCGCTCTGGAATACTCTGCCACCTGAAGTCAGTGCCTTGCGGGATCTATCAGCTTTCCGCAGGGCATGTAAAACATACCTGTTTCGACAGGCCTTTGATCTTTGATATTGTTGTTTTTAAATTGTTTTAAAATTGTCTTAGATTTTCATAGAATCATAGAATCAAAGAGTTGGAAGAGACCTCCTGGGCCATCCAGTCCAACCCCATTCTGCCAAGAAGCAGGAATATTGCATTCAAATCACCCCTGACAGATGGCCATCCAGCCTCTTTAAAAGCTTCCAAAGAAGGAGCCTCCACCACACTCCGGGGCAGAGAGTTCCACTGCTGAACAGCTCTCACAGTCAGGAAGTTCTTCCTCATGTTCAGATGGAATCTCCTCTCTTGTAGTTTGAAGCCATTGTTCCGCGTCCTAGTCTCCAAGGAAGCAGAAAACAAGCTTGCTCCCTCCTCCCTATGACTTCCTCTCACATATTTATACATGGCTATCATATCTCCTCTCAGCCTTCTCTTCTTCAGGCTAAACATGCCCAGCTCCTTAAGCCGCTCCTCATAGGGCTTGTTCTCCAGACCCTTGATCATTTTAGTCACCTTGCAGCTTCTGACACGGGAGTCAGCAGAATCATATTGGCTTCTTTAGCTGCTGCATCACACTGTTGGCTCATGTTCAGCCTGTGGTCTCTTCAGATTCCTAAATGCCTTTCCTCTGTTTTCAAGCCAGGTATTACTCATCTTACATCTCTGCATTTAATACATTTCTCCTAATTTAAATTCATTTTGCCAATTTGGTCTCTCATCTGTTGAGGTCACTTTGGAGCCTGAT